AATATATATTTATATATATATATTATATATATATAATACTTTGCCTACTTTAAAAAATCAGACAAGGGAACATCACAGCATACTTAATACATTTGCTGTCGTAAGATCTTTCTACGCTCGCTATTTATTTTAGAATTGATTAATATATATATTATATATATATATATATTATACGGACAGGCATGTGTTAGCGGCCACCTCCATAGAACGCGTCAACATGCCATAATAACACCATCGCACATACAATTACATCTGACAACGAGTCGTTTTTCCTCGAGTGACCATTACATTTGCATGTTTGACCTTATGTAGGGAATAATATTTCCGGGATTCAGAATATTGAAATTTGTATCATTCTTGCAATGCATTGCGGGTGGCGGGGGTAACACACACACACACACACACACACACACACACACACACACAAACACACACACCACACCACACACACACAACACAGCACACACACACATACACACACACAACACACACACACACACACACACACACACCCACACACACACACACACACACACTACACACACACACACACACGCACACACACCACTCACAACCACACCACACACACACGAACGCACGCACGCACATACACACACATACACACATATATATATATATATATATAGATATATATATTATAAATATATATATAGATATATATATATTATATATATATATAGATATATATATATATATATATATATAGATATAGCTATAGATATTGAAATAAATTACAATTATACCAGGGGTTTTAAATTTCTATTATTCAGCGTTACATATGATATTGCTTTAACGTGTTTCCAACCACCCAGTGAAAATGAATTAATAAATTATTAATAATAATAAGTGTAATATATTAATAATAATATAATAATAATAATATACTTATCAGCTAGAAAATATTATATTATTAGTTGCACAGAAATCCAAGGAGCGCATGAGAGAGCACCTGAGACATAAAGGGATTATTTGTCCTTGCTTATTATATTATCAACAATTAATTTATATTAATAATAACTTTTAAACGATAATTGCATTAGCATAACAATTAATTTGCGTATTTTTGCGGTGATTCTAGTATTCTTGTGTACCGCAGTAAAAATAGGAACGTCGATAGTTTTTTCCGGAATTTTTGATTTTCAAATTTGATCATCCTTGCAATGTATGCAGCTGCCGGATGTACATAGATTCTATATCCTTTCTGGCTTGGGCAGGGACTTCCATGTCATTTAGCGAGGAAAGCTATGGAGGGAGCATAGAAGTTTGCGCTCACCAAGTTGCGTGAGTTCGGCATGGGAAGGTCAGCATAGAGAAGAAGATCCAGGAGAGGCGTCCGCCTGTCTCGCACATCTAAGGGACACCAACGGGGAGCCGCTCGATCCACAGGTAGAAAGAAATAACCAGACAATATTTTATGCACAAGATGTCTCGCTCTTGAGCCTTTTTCTAACTATCTATCCCCACTTATATTACATATATATATATATGTATATATTTATGTATATATATGTATCAAAGCTAATTAATACCAAGAGCTAATAATTATTAGCTCTTGATATCAAGAGCTAATAATAGCAAAGAGGTATTATTAGCTCTTGATATATATATATATATATCACTCTCTAACTCTCTCTCACACCACACTGTCTTTGTTCTTACTTCACTGACGCTCCCTTATTATTCTCTCTACCATACACTCATTATTTTGCAATCACTTGATCCACGTGTGTCGGTATGTGTGCGTGTGTGCATGTTACGTGTGTGTATGTGTGTGAGTGTGTGTGTGTATGTGTCGTGCGTGTGTCTGTCTGTGTGTGCGTGCATGGGTGTGTGCTGGGTTGTGTGTGCGTGCGTGGGTGTGGGTGCATGGGTGTGTGTGTGTGGGGGATGTCTGTGTGTACAGACATTTATAATACATATACACGGCACCGGCAGGCTCTTCTCAGCAGCTGTGGTGTGACGTGATTGTCTCCATCATATTCGGTGCTCGGTATGACTACGCCGACCGCGCCTTTTCTCAGATTTACCCGACGATATCAACGCCATCTTCCACAATACCACACGTACAGGTAAGTACCTTCGCTAATATGCAGGTACGTATCGTCTGTGACGCACAGGTTTGTACCGTCGGTAACATACAGGTACGTACCGGTCGCTAAACATTACAAGTACGTTCCGTCGGTAACTTACAGGTACGTACCTTCGGTGACATACAGGTACGTTCCGTCGGTAACATACAGGTACGTACCGTCGGTAACATACAGGTACGTACGTACGGTAACAAACAGGTATGCACGTCTGTTTTAACACGGTAGCGTACGTCTGGCTAACACACAGTTACGATGCGTCGGTAGCATTACAGGTTACGTACCGTCCGGTAACATACAGCTGCGTACCGTCGTAACATACATGTCCACACGACGGCAACATACAGGTTTACGTAACCGTGCTGTAACCAATACATGTACGTGCCGTCGATAACATTACAGTAGTGCGTCGGTAACAACATACAAGTACGTACCGTCTAAGTAACATAACAGGCTAACGTACCTCGGTAAATACAGATACGCTATCAGTCGGTAACATACAGGTACGTACCGTCGTAATATACAGGCTACGTACCGTCGGTAACATACAGGTACGTACCGTCGGTAACATACAGGTACGTATTGTCGGTAACATTCAGGTACGTACCGTCGGTAACATACAGGTCGGGTCAATATCAATAACAATCGCTAATAACGTCAATAATTATCGATTTAATTTTTTAATTAGGATATTTTGCCGTTTGTCAAGTTATAATCGACTAAGACCTCGCGGTTGTAAAAATGGGGTCATTTAATTCATCGAAAATTGCCGGAAATTTATATGAAAAGAAGCTTTGCGTTATTCCAACGAATACCCGTTGTCAGGAAAAGGCACCATTAAACCGCATCTAAAAAACGAAAGAATCCCGGAAAAAATGTCCTTTGCCTGCGCGCAGACGTTGATACGCGGTATGTTTTGCATACACAGGGCATGCTTAACTTCTTCCCTGTGCTGCGACACCTGCCCGTCTTCAGCCGCATGCTGAAAAAGATGGACGCGGGGTACGCAGAGTTGGACAAGAAGCTGGAAAGTAACATAGCAGAGCACGAAGAGCAGGCGACGGAGAAAGAGGGAGACGTGAGAGACTACTTAGACGCATACCTGCTAGCGCAGCGGAAGTGGGCGGCCACGGATTCGGCATTCACTAGTGAGTCAAGCGCTGCACGAACCCGCACGCACATACCCACACTCACAAACACACACACGCGCGCACACGCACACACACACACACACACACACGCAAACACACACAAACACATCCTATAGAAAAGCACGTTTGCACGCACGCACAAATGCACGCCCCCATATACACGCACACAAGCACAAACACACACGCGCGCGAACGCACGCACGCAAGCACTTGACGCGCATATGACAAGAATGAATGAAGTTACTTGAATTATATAATACGCGAGGGAGTCGACAGACAAACACTTACGTATGACGGCGTCATCTCTCAGCTTTTCAGCTGCTCATGTCTGTGCGTGATCTGTTTCTCGGCGGATCTCACACCGTCATGACGACGCTACGCTGGGGTCTGCTTTTTATGCTCAAATACCCTCACGTCCTGCGGAGAGTGCAGGTCGAGATCGATGACGTCATCGGACGAGGGAGGCTACCCTGCATGGCGGACCAAGACAACATGCCGTACACGCGGGCGACAATAGCCGAGGTGCAGAGAGTAGGTGAGACAGAAAGCTAGCATTCAGGCAGTCAGTCAGTAGGTGGCATTCATAGACAGCAGGCCTGATTAGGTGTGACAGAAATATTTTTTGTTAATACTTGGCAAGTTTTTTTAGCACAGCATAACTAGGCGAGCGACACTACTAAACGTCTAGATACTGTGAGAGAACGCCATCCGCGAATTTCTTTCTTGTTTCTAGCGGACATTGTGCCTCTGAGCGTGCCACACAGAACGACCACCGAGTTAGAGCTAGGAGGCTACGTCATCCCCGCCGGTACGGCGATCCTTGCTAACCTCACGGCCATCCTGAACGACCCGAAACACTTTCCCGAACCGGAGAAGTTCCGCCTTGAGCGCTACCTGGACGAGCGTGGAGACTTTGTGCAAAACGAAGCGCTGATCCCGTTCTCCATTGGTGAGATTACTTGCACGGCCGCAAGATGGCGACACCAGGGCAAGGAGAATACAGTGACGTCACCCGTTAAAAGACTGCAGCGGTGATCGTGGTTGGGGGTCCCTGCTAGGTTATTGTTTTCGAGGGGTGCTGATTGGGCGATGCCGTGAAATCCACCAACTTTAGATTTTGATTTTTTTACATAATTGGAATTAAATTGGTGTTTAATACACCGTCGTACATGTTTTTACATGACCAGGGTGTGTTTCCCATATCACGGCACGGCAGTCTACTCCCCCACTCCTCTTCTTTGCTCCGATCTCCCTAAACTTCTCAACAAAAGTGTTCTATCGATATTTCCTGTTTATTTTAAGAAAATAATCATAATTCTCATCATCGTCATCATCAGCATCCTTATTATTATTATTATTATCATTATTATCATCATCATCATCGCTTCTGAAAACTTCCTGGAAAATTTCCTCAAAATAATATCATGAATGCATCTTGAAATCACAGTATAACGGGAATTTCCTACGCACGGGGACTCGAACCCTAAACCTTAGAATTTATTGTCAGGCCAAGACTACCCCCTCTCTCTACTAGCCAAGCTTTTGTGAGCCTCTCTGGTGATGGTGTCTGTTATTTGCCGACAGGTCATCGCGTGTGTCTAGGAGAGGCTCTCGCAAAAGTGGAGCTGTTCATATTCTTCACAAGCATTCTGCAGAACTTCAACATCGGACTACCAGATGGCGTTACCGATCCGTCTATGGATGGAAACTTGGGCATCTTGTGGATGGCAAATCCGTATCTGTTACATTGCGTCGCGCGACAGTAATCCACAATGATGTCAAAACCCCACACCGTACGAGTCATAATGTCTGGAACTTGCTATTACTCACGTGCGATGAAACTGAATTACTTTACATTCATAAGCAAATCAAAATGTCTATGTAAATTTGGAGTTTTTTACCATTGAGATCTCCAAAACAATCGCTGCATTGTTTGCTCGTGAAACGTTATTTGAAGGGTAGATGCCAGAATGGTATGCAAAAGGAGTTTTTCTAGAACTGTCTGTATAGAGGAATCTGCCAGGAGCCGCAATGATTTCAAAAACTTGTACCGTTTCAAAAATCAACGTCGTACGAGTGATAAACCTGTGGTAAAGCGCTTGCTATAAATCTTCATTATCTTACGTATTAACCTGTAACTAAACTGCGTTACCCAACGTTTTTACCTTAACTTCTTATTAAACTGTGTTATCCTAAGATTTAACCTATAATTGAATTGAGTTATCCTACGTTTTACCTGTAATTAAAAAAACCTGTGATTATATTGCGTTATCTTGCACGTGTTACTTGAGGTTAAAGGATTTAAGGAGATATTTTGCTGATTAAATAAATGAGATCAAAAAGTCCAGCTGTGCTAATTAGGTAACCGAAGATGGGGGTCTAAAATTGTAATGTTGTAATTTACGCTACTGTGTTGAGCTATTGAGTGGAATGTATGTAAAGCCAAAATACATAGATAATAATAGAAGTCAGATGTTTACCATGACTAGCTGTACGTTCTTTTATTGTTTGAGTTACAATGTCTCGGTCGTGCCTGTTAGTTGCCCGGTTGCTGAGCAGAGTCCTCTTCGATTCTGCCTGCGCTACGGCTTTTATACCCACAGGCACCCGCGGCGCATGCGTGACGCATGCGTCGTACACGCTCGCGAAGGCGTTACACATGCCTCGCGCATGCCATACATATTTGCGAGGGCGTCATACACGCCCTTCGCACGTGCTACACAGATTCGCGTAGACGTTAAGTTGTTTTCGACTACGAGGACTACTTAAGTCACTATAGATGTTATTGTCTAATCTGTTTCTAAGTGACTCTAATCTGTTTCTAATTGACCTTTAATGGATGAGACGCCGATGCGGCGCTCCTAAGTGACCCCACTGGTGTGGGCCTCGGCCATACGACCACACACCATACAGATCTACTGGTGTCATAAATATGTCCTAAAGGGACGTAATCGGTATTACTGCTACAACTAATGTCTATAACCTACACGCGCTCGCGAAGGGATACATGTCGTGAAGGCATAAGACCCTAAAATCTACACACGGTGAAATTATTGGTCAGCCTTCCTCCTCCTGGCCGTCAGGGGAGGCGGGTGACCGAGCCATAGTGGCCCGGGCAACCATGTCTGCCATAGCCATGGCGGCCATCTGGCGGACATGCAGTTCGTTGAAAGTGGTGTCTGGGCCATCCCCTGCGCTGATCTCGAATTCGTAGCGCAGGGGGTCGTCGGCAGTGTTCGCCCCGACGAAAGAGCCGACGTACTCCGGGTTGAAATCCGGGTGCGGTGTCCGGGTGGGGTTACCCGGGGTGTGCCCGGGGTCGTCTCCTTCCACCTCGAGGTCAAACTGGAGTTGGTCGTCCACGACGAAGGGGGAGGGATACAGGTCGTATGGGAACGGACGATTACTACGGTGAATATTCGGAGACCGAGCCGTGGGTGCTGTCTGGCGACATGAATTGGCAAGCATAATACATGACACTATGTCATAAGCGGGCCTGCCTGGCATAGCGGCGCAACGGTTAGGGAGCGCAGTCATTGATAAGCTATGGAGTGTACAGCTTTAGTGATGAGCCGTTGGAAGCGGCTCACACTACGAATGTATATATCTGAGTGAAGCGCATCTTTCTGATAGTGCGCTGTACGAGTAAGGTAATAAAATTATTTCTAAAAATTAGCAAGACTAGTGCTAGCGGTGCACACACTGCACATCGTCCATGCCGTAAAACCATCCTTATGCCGGTATGGTTAAAATAATAGGCTATTGATGAAGTACTAGCTCGATGAAATCACCGAAATGTAACATCCGAGATGTATCTACACGACGCGAAGGGGGGGGGGGTGGTGTGGCATAGAGCGGCGCACTGGGCGGGAGGCGAGTTTTTTTCCCCAGTCGACATAACATAGCGAAGAATTTAGGACCTTCTGATTGGCTGCTTCGATTTGCTTTGCCTTTGACAAGAGAACAAACGCCCATTTGTAACATAGCGAAGAATTGCAATTATTTTGCAATAATAACCCTAACCCTAACCCTAACCCTAACAACATAACCCTAACAATAGATAAATGGATAAAGATAGAAAAATACAGAAAACAAAAAAATTATTAAAAACCAAACCGGATTCGAACCAACGACCTTTCAGAAGTAACGACGGTGTTCTATCCACCACGCCACACAGGATATATAAGAAACAGTACATGACATATGTCTTTCAGAAGTAACGACGGTGTTCTATCCACCACGCCACACAGGATATATAAGAAACAGTACATGACATATGCTAAATAAGCAAAGCAGCCTGTTTTTGAACCAATCAGGAGGCAGGATGAACCAATCAGAACCAATCAGAAGGCGCTAAATTCTTCGCTATGTTATGTCGACTGGGAAAAAAAACTCGCGGGCGGGAGCGTAGAGAGATATGCCGGTGAAGTATGGGAGTTAGTGGGGAAGCCTTTGGGGTTGGGGGGTCAGAAGGCGTGTCGCACAGTATTTGCGTGATATCCACATTAGGGGGGATCGTACTATTGCCGAGGTGGGTGATGGGGTCCTGGCAACAAGGTTGGGGCCTAGGAAGCCATCACGATGGGACTGAAGGGTAGGTGTTATCGGGTCGAAGGAACCCATTCGCTGCTGTGGTTCGAGAATGGTTAGCGGCATACTGGAAAATAGCGAATGAGATCTTGGCGTGGTAGGGGTGGTTGGGTAGCTTTGTATTGTTATGCGTCTCGAAGGGGGTAGTGTAAGATCGGCAGGTCTTGACTGGGGCTGGTGTTCGGGGGTGTGAGGTCGACGGCAACGACAGCAATATCAATATGCAGTGACGACCAGGACGGTAAACAACAGGGACGTGAGGCCGATATACACTATGGAATGATATGTGGTGGCCGCGATAGTTGAACTGCCCATCTCGGTATACGCCGAGGTAGCCGCTGGCAGGCGTTTACTGTGTCTGCCAGCAGTAACTAAGTCAGTGTACGCGACGTCAAGGTCAGTATGAGCGTGGGAACTAGGAGGTACAACTTCTGGTGGGATGAGGTCTTCCGAGTCGGCGGTGGACAAGCGTTTCGCATCATAAATGTCTGACCATATTGTAGGGACCGTGCGGTAAAACAGGCGGTCGAGTGGGGGTAGTTCGATCCGTACATCAACATCAGTTTCGTGGTGGAAGTATGATGGCAGGGTAAAATACTTGGACTCAGCCTTACAGCCAGAATGGAGCGTAACTGTCTGTTGTTGTCGAACGATAAATTCTTTAGTTGTCACTTGCGTCGTAGGGTGTGACTGGCACGAGATAGCCAAACGTAATGGGTGGGGAGTAGAGATCAGCCAGCTACCGTCAACGAGGTAGGTGGCGCGCGGCGTTGACCTTGCACATAGTGTGGAGATTAGAGCGGTATCATTTAGAAATAGCGCGACTGGGCACGTAATCGCTGTCGTTATGCGGTAAATTGGGAATCTTACATCACAGATCTCTTGATGCTTACGCAAGCATGAACGTATGACGAACTCGTCCGGTTGCGCGTTATTGGCATGGTCGAGTGAAACACCAATAAAATTTTGAGGAATTTGGAAGTATGCTGCCGCAGTGAAGTTACCGAGAAACACTGGCGGTGTTAAAATTTGATACATCTGAAACGTCATCTTATTATATGTGAGAGGTAAAAATGCGATTACGTAGAGTCCCATGTCCACAGGGACTACGATAGCCTCGATAAGGTTATAATAATAAAACAAGTCAAGCATGGGGGCTGTGTGGCATAGTTAACGTAAGGGGTAGCGAGTTTTTAATAGTAAGTAAGACTTCCCGCAACTGGTGGGGGGGGGTAACAGCGTAGAGGGCAAGCGGCCCGTTAATAAAACGGAGATGGCGTGTATCGTAGTATCAATTGTGGTTTGAACGTTATCAATTGCTACTGTCAAACTAGAAAGGGATAACTAGAGGTGTGTAATCGCAATTAACTCCCGCGCCACAGAGGCTTGGAAGGCCGTTACTTTAAACATTAGTGTGCGCACACTTGAGGTCAAGTCACGGGCATGGGAAGTCACATGCGACAACACCTCCGTATTCATTCATTCACGAGTATAATTTATGACGGTGAGGGATTCGTCGATTACAGTCAAAATTCGCTCCTGCGTCGTACCTAAGGCGGATAACTGCCGTTGCAGTTGCGCAATGTCATCATCGGTAGCCGTACCGAATAAAAATTTTGCAAGTTTACCAAGGCCACCAACTATAGCGCGTTTCTCTCTTGATTTATGCAACGAGTGCAGGTCGGTTAAACGGAGATTAAGTGTTTGCAAACGTTGGCGAAACCATGCGATATGGGCTTGCACGAGAGATGTGATGTCGCAGTTCAAAGCCGCGAAGTATTGATCGTCAGGGGATGGGGGAAGGGGAATACGGTGCTTCCGCTGGCTGTCGTCTATACATCTTACAGACATCCTTGTGCAACGAGTGTAGATATGTCTGGATCGAAGTGAAGTTGAGAGTAAAGGCTATGCCCCAAGTACTTAGTGTGACCGAGATCTGACCTCTCGGGATAAAAGCTACTCCCGTCGTGGGTCGCCGGACCTCTGTAGCTTGTGAGGCGAATAAGATTGCCGAGGCAACTACGAGCAGGGCGACCGTCGTAACAGGGAACATCCTCCTGAAACAGAAGAGTGCCCCTTAAAATAAACGAGGTGTATTTCGCACGTTAGCTGTATCGGCTAATTTGTGCGAGTAGCAACAAGTCGTCTGCCTCCCAGCTATCAGTGCTGGGCGTGCTGGCCACGCTGGCTGCACGCGTGTCGTCGTGGAGAGGCAACGAACGGGGCCCTGTGTCGACCAGCGTACGTGACGCATTGGTCGGCGTGCTGGGCCTTCTCGCCCCGTAATCACGGGTCTAGGTGCATCCCATGCCGAGAATGGGTATGCAGGGC